TACTTCCTCGCGCAAAACATCGAGCCCGAGCTGCGCCGCACCTGCGAGGCGGAGCTCATGCTGCTCTACCACGAGCGGCTCGTCCGCGACGGCGTCGAGGGCTACTCGCTCGACGACTGCTGGCGGTCGTACCGCCTCAACCTCTTCCGCGTCCTGATCAACGTCATGTTCGTCTCGTACGACCAGTTCGCGGCCGACGCGAAGCGCAAGCGCGGCATGTTCGCCGAGACGCCCACCAAGGAGGACGAGAAGCTGCGCGCCACCTACGACGCCACCAACCGCCGCATGGCCGCCGCCCTCGTCGACGCAAAGTTCGACGAGCTGCTCAGCAGCGAGGGCAAGACGATGCACAACCCGTGCCGCTTCCTGCCCGGGGTGGGCAACTTTTGCGCCTGAGCGGCGCCCGCCCGCCCCTTCGGGGGGGGCGGGGGGCGGGGGCGCGAGCAGAGGCGCGGGGGGCGCAAGCAAAGGGCCGGTGCGCCCCTTCATTATATTGCGCGCCGGTGCTGCGCCCCATCGCGGCCGCCCCCCCTCCCCCGCTCCCCCTCCACTTCTCCTTGTCGATAGAGGGCGAAGCTCTGACGAGGCGCAGAGCTCGCCGGCTGCGGGACTGGGCTTCGGGCGCCCTGGCCCGTCTGCCCTGTACGTTTAGAGGTCTGATGTCCTGGCCGTGGCGCACATCCGAGTGTGTGCCCCCCCCCATGGTGCCCCCGCGACGCCGAGTCGTATGAAGTATTGAGTATTGTGTGGTGCTGTTGGGCGTGTGCTGTGCTTTGTGCGTTTTGACTTGAAACGAGAACACAAAACCGAGTCACAAGTCATTGCAACATACATACATTGGTGATTGGTCATAAAGCCGTATCGCGGTATCGGCACAGACATATGTGAGAGATTTGACGCGTCACGGCCGACCACACGGTCACGTGTCCACACGAGACAGTCTCTCACGTGTCACGCGAGGTCGAGGAAAACAGACACGACGTGGACACCCGCGAGCTATGACACCTCCGCGCCCAGTCACAGTCCCCAGACCAGGACGCAGGACGAGGCGACGAGCGAGGGACGCAGACAGCGAGGTGACTCTGGAGGAGACTCGCCATGAGTCCACAGTGGTGTCGCTCTGAACAGCCTCATCCGGCTCACTTGACACTTGAGAGCGACAGCGACAACCGAGCGAGAGCGCAAATCTCCCACCGTGACACCCTGTATGTACGGATCTTGCCGCTCGAACATGCTGCCTCGACGACATATGAAGATGTGTCGGGCCGCAAAAGCCGCGTATATACTCTACCGCACTCTCTGGTCAAGCTCAAGGTGCCCGTCCCTGAGTGAGAGCGCAGGACGCGCGTCTCGGCGGCGCCGCGCCGCTCGTCCCTCTCCGCCAAGTCAATAAAGCTCTGCTCCGTCAGCCCCAAATGCTCCACCGGCTGTTTCTTGGCGTGCCATGACCCGCTTCGGTGCCTCTGCTCTCCCGCCCCGCCCAAGCGGCACCGCGCACGCGAGACGCCCTCTCGAGGTGGAGCCCGTTCAATGTCGCGCTAAAAGCGTGATCGCGTCTCGTTTACAGTGCATACTCACAACCACGCACACCATGTCTCAAAACTCCTACCCGACAATCATACCCTCCACGACACCGGCATACACGGTGACGGTCGCGTGCACCGCCGCGGTGCCGTCCTCCGTCTCGGCCTCCATCGCCTCCAGCTCCACCATGTCTGCCGCCTCGATGACGACAGCGTCCGGTGCGTCGCCGCCGACGGCCCCGCCCGGCGCGGCGAGCGGCATGTGCG